AAGGATTAAATTGAAGTTATAATCTTGAATTATTAATAGAGGAACCCTTTATTTTTATATTTATTCATAATATAATTTTTAAATGTAATTGTAATTATTTTTCATACGGTCTTATAACAGCCCAATTATTTTATATTCAAACAAAAATCGCAAATATACAGGAATTTTTATTTTTCAAGCTTATATTTCATATCATCTCCTTTTTTAAACTGCTTTCAACAACGGGTTAATTTGTAGGTAAAATGGGTTAATTTGAAACTAAAAACGGCTAATTTGACCTATTATTATTATTTTATATGCTAGACGATAAAAATCAATTGCGGCGGTGGTATACACTCAGGCTGTTTGCAACAACTTTTATGAGAGTGTAGGCATGCTGCTGAATGGTCCTCGGCCACAGCAGAAAGTTTCTGGGTCCTCTGTTCTTCTTTTTGGAGGACGTCGGTTTTTATTAAAAATGTATATAGTCATATTCTGTGTTTTATTTGAGCGCGTTTATTTATTAGTGTGAGTGGTGATATTATAGCGTTACCATCGCCCCTCCAGCAGTGGGTGTATTTAGGGTTGTGGAATATTTATGAAATACATAAAAGCAACACGTCGACCCTAATTTAAATTAGATACAGGTAGGTCGATGGAGGAATATCGAGTACTCCACCGAACTTTCAGGATGCGTGTAATGATTGAATTTATTTAAATGTATGAATGTATTAATTTGTGCGAATGATTTTAGTATTAGGTTAGATTAGTTTGCACGCGTTTGGGCTTGAAACGACCTAGGGAAGCGACGATCTCCCGGGCATCTGGCTTAAGGGGGATTCTAGCGACCCAGCCACATAATGGAGTGGGTGAACTCCCCGGTGTATAAACCCAAGGGTGAACACATCGGGGAGTGACAACCCTTGGGGATGAAAGTCCAATAACAACTTTTAATCATTGATTATTTAAAGATCGTGAAATGCAGCCTGGAAAATAAATACTACACACAAATAACTCTTAACTTGACGATTTTCGGTACTCTGGAAAATTTATATTTATAATAATCCATTTATGTTTAGTGGTCTAATTGACAAAATTACTTATTTCAATTAATTATTCTTTTTGTATAAGTTCTTGGTTGAGATAAAAAAGTTAGTGTCACATTAGCTCAAGTGTTTAGAGCAGCTGCGTGTTGAGCCGAAGGTCGTGGGCTCGAATCCAGCTCGTGACACTAACTTTTTCATCTCAACCAATAACTTAGCTAAAAAGAATAACTAATTAATATGATTTTAATATATTATATTTTCTACGAGGTATGTTGTAACGTAATTGTTGATAAAGGAGTTTATTTTTTAGACTAGACATAAAAGTGGTATGATTAAGCATTTCTCTCTCATAATTATTCCTCGCTTTGTAAGAATATGGAGCTCCCTTTAAAATACCTAAGTAGAGAAATTTAATATAACTTCCTCTGGTAGAAAATCGAACACGGGATAAAGGAAAGTATTCGTTTTTCATGGTGAAAACATTGTTCCGCTCAAGTATGTCGTCGAAGCAAATAAACGTTACATTCAGAGGAAATTATTTAATATATTTACTATTAAATAAACGTCATGATGTCACGTGTTTTTATGTGTACAATGGAATTTTGGGCAATTTGTGATAAGGAAAGCCAAGGGAAATTATTTATTTAAAAATTTGTATCTTGAATTCTTAAGCTTAGCGTTTTGTTTGTCGTCCTGCGTACGTACTTCGTTAGTTGTCCTAATAATGGGATTATTCTATCATAATATATAAACAACAGCGGCGTATTGAGCCGAAGGTCGTGGGTTCGAATCCCGCTCGTGACACTAACATTTACATTTCAACCAAAACATTACTTAAAAAGATTAATTAATTGAAAGAAGTAATTTCGTCAATAGACCATTAAATATAATGGATTTAATGTATTATAATGTTGAATGTTTTTTTTGCATTTACTGTGAATAAATGGCTAAAATTGATTTATTCTATTAAGCTTATTGTCGGTAATGTTTGAAATACGCACCAACTTTCACATTGTTATGATCTCACTAAAGAAAGCACTCAAAATACCTACATCTTGGTATAAAAAATGATTTTTTTGTTCCAAGACAATATTATAATACCGTGAAGTATTCATAGAGTCTGCAGAGTGAATGAGAACCGTAATTTGGTCGATATAGATCATTTTGTCTATCCTTTTGGTTTGATAGCCAGACCAAAAAGATAGGTAAAGACTAAATCGCAACATTATAATGGCGAAAAAAAGACCGCGTTCCTAAATTAACAATGTACTATATTGTAAATTTTAGAATTCCACTTTATGTCACCTTTGGCTCTTTTGGACTAATGTGTGACGGTTGAGAACGAATACTAATTTAAACCTGAATCCCGCATCGAGGCATAATCACGATGGAATCGTAATTTTTTTAATGCGACGCTGGAACGGGTTGTCACATTCCTCACAGGTTCATTATTCTGGCATTTCAGTTGAAAATGGACGTAGAGATAATCGTCATCTCAAAAACCCAGCCGGCACGCGTGGTCCAGGAGGCGTTCGGGGCCGGGGCAGATGGCAGATGGCTGAAAAACTACCTGGGCCTCAACAATGCTGACCTGGGACACGTGTTGGCTTTGAATGGCCAGGAAAATCTCGGATTTCACCTTGCAGACTGCACAAAAACCGTGCACGAAAGGCGAACCGTATTCACGAGGGGAAAAGGAAGACAATTTTCATCCCGGCTCTGATGTACAAATACAATATTGCCATCCTATAAAGGAAAGCAAAAGGTCAATAATGCTCTCTGTAACACTAAACCGACTCCAAAGAGAAAAAATATCCATGGACATGTGCTTTTTTACATGTTTTATTATCATTTGATTGTCTTTTTTACACTCCCTAACCTTCACAAGCCATCTCTTAACAGATAAAAAATATATACAACAACGATCTTCCAGTCCTCAGCACACGTTTAACTGTACATATATATATATATATATATATTAGAAAATCTACGACTTATGGTGAGACGGAAAAAGAGGGAGGGTCAGAGAAATAGAAAGAAAGAAGGAAGGAAGGAAGGAAGGAAGGAAGGAGTGTGAGGGAGGGAGAGAGAGAGAGAGAGAGAGAGAGAGAGAGAGAGAGAGAGAGAGAGAGGGAAGATAGAGGAAGGAAGGAGAGAGTGAGAGAAAGAGAGGTGGAGAAAGAAGAAGGAAGGAGAGGGGGGGAACAAAAAGGAAGGAAGGGGAGGGAGAGAGAGAGAGGGAGGGAGAGAGAGAGTGAGAGAGAGAGTGAGAGAGAGAGAGAGAGAGAGAGAGAGAGAGAGAGAAGGTTATACTGCTTGTTAATTACGCAATTTAAAAGCTGTGCTGTATGTGAAGGTTTTGTCAAGCAGCGAGAATAAGCCGGCCAAAAATAATATATAAAAACCAAATTACATGTCCATCACCCCGCAAGCTACGGAAAAATTTTAGTTATGTTGTATCCAAAATGGAATTTGGTCTGAGCAAAATATTGAATAAAACGAACATGCCCATTAGGACACAATCAAATTGGCACAAAATTATCTTACATGACTTTATAATAGATAAAATTACAATGTCCATCACCGTGTCACACGTTATACGTAAAATAATTTTAAGAAATGAGTTTATAGTTACATCCATAGTCTTAGTGTAGCATTTATTAGTACCTCCTCAGGAAACAATACCATCGGCTATTATGGATTGTGCAAGAGAAAAAATATATTGCCGTTAAGAGTTCAATTTTCATGAAGTTGCGTAAAATTCTATAGAGCTTTCTCTGGCGGGAAACCAAATAATCGATATGTAAATTAAATCTCAAATTTGAGTACAATGTCACACCAAGATATCTAACACTATAAGCAAAAGGGATAGGCAAGAAAAACACACATCATTACCATCAAAAGTATGAAAAGCAAATTTTAAATTATTAGTATTTATTTATTTTTTTAATGAAAAATATGTATCGATTCTCAAATTCTTCTCTTTTTCAGTTCACTTCGGTCTATATATGATAAAAAATTGTCCATATTTATCACCTTAGGGATGGAATTTCAAAAAATCCTTTCTTAGCGGAATCCATGTCATTAAAGTGCACTGTCGAAAATTCAGCCCTTTAGATCCAGCGATTGTGTCTGTCTGTCAGTCACGGAACTGTTTTATATATATAAAATATAGCTGACTGTAACTATCTCGAAGCCATTCTCAGATGTATCGTTTTATCAACCTGCAGCAATTCCTTCGCATGACACACAAGCATCACCGGGAAGGCGATATCGTTCAAAATAAAATTGAGTTCATCGGTCCATCGTTCAAAATGGCAAATTCCAGCCTCAGGTTCTAATTCAAGTCTTCCTCCCGAGCCGGGAAATATTTCTCTGTGAGAAACGTATTTTAGAGGCAGTTTTAGGAAATCATTTGCTATTTACGTTGAGAGGTGAGAATTCGAATTAGGTAGATAAGCATATACCTGACAAGACAACTAGTACTAAACTAAATCTCGGGGGCCTTTTCATAGGACAATATATGCTTAGAAAATAGCATTTTGAGGTTCATAGTGAATTCATCTATAATGTATCTATATCACATCATTAATTCTTAAACTATAAAGAAGAAAATGATCAGGGTGCTTCTTAGTATGTTATCGAGTTGAATAACTGTTTCCACTTCGTTGTTATGTTTTTATATTATATTTTATCACTATTTTTTAAAGTGTATTTTTAGTTTATGACCTACTAGTTGGTATCGCCCGTAATTTTAAATGTACGTAAATAAATTATCTTCAAATTTTAAGCCTACGCGTCTTTGGGATCAAATTTTTAATTATAAAGGCGGTGTTAAAATAAAGTAAATGGCAGCTATGCCAATTGTGTTTTTCGTCGAGCAAATCAAACAGGGGCAAATCAAAGGTTCTTTTCTGGAATGATTCCAATGTCTTAAAATCTGTTTAATTTAGTATTTTGTTTACGTTGACTTACCTGAATGTAACGTCGAGATTAAAGGGTCTCATCGGAAGCTTGACCGGGTCATCGAATAGGGCATCACTTGCTCCTGGCCGGGACAGCCCATCATTTGTTCACTGTATCTGCTTGGGCCCTGTAAACAATCATTTTTATCGTTAGTCACAATTAATCGACTGTATTTTTATATATATACAGGGTGAATTGCTACTCGTGCTACAAACTTCTCCAGTAGATTCTTCACCCTAAAATGAACAAAAAAGTTCATATTGTCCATGGTCCGATTCTCAACCATTTCAGAGTAATTTCGCTTTTTATCGATTTTGAAAGATATCACGTCCTGGCGTCGGAAAATCGTGATATCTTTTAATCTAAACATTTCTCT